CCTTGAATATGAACGTTGGACTATAACCTCTGGACTATTTCTGACAGAACTCTTTGTAACTACAAAGTTAATCATCTCCACTATGGATCTAATCTCAAGAACTGTACTCCTGTCTGTATGTAGACTGATCTTTTAACCAATACATGCTTACAGCCAAAAGAAGAGAGTGTATTTGGGTAAAATCTGGAATACTCATTAACCTGGGAGGTAATGTGTCTGATCCTTTGGGCTTGGTAGAACGTTTTTATCTGATGAATAAGATTTTTCTGTAATTCTCCTCATATTTGATTTGGGTGTCTGAGTGGCTGGGTTGCTTTAAGGCAGTGGTCACCAACCGATCGCTCATGATCGACTTGTCAATCCTAGAGGATCTCCCAGTCGATCGCGATCTCCGGCGGTGCAGTGACACTGCTGCTAAGGCAGACTCCCTGCCTACCCCGGCCCTGCACCGCTCCCGGAAGAGGCCAGCGTGGCCCCAGGGGTCTCTCTCCGCGCACTGCTCTGGCCTGCAAGCACCGCCCCTGCAGCTCCCGTTGGCTGGGAGAGCTGCGGGGGCGGTGCTTGCAGAGAGGGGCAGCGTGCGGAGCCACATGGCCCCTTCCGGGAGCGGTGTAGGGCTGGGGTAGGCAAGGAACCTGCCTTAGCCTCACTGCGCCCGCCACTGACCAGGAGCCGCCGGAGGTAAGTGCTGCCCAGCAGGAGGCTGCACCCTAACCCCCCTCCCGTACCCCCTCCTGCATCCCAAATCCCCTACCCCAGGCACAAGACCACAACAGCTTACAGAAGAATGGGACAGAGTCTGGTGTGGTCTTAGTTTCATAACAAAACTTGAGTGACTCCCCGGTGGCACTCTGCATGCAATTGGCAACGCTTTCCCAGGGGCAACCCGAGGAGTTGCCGACAGCATAGAACTAGTAGCGACGCTGCAGGGCCGGGGGGTTGCTCCCATTCCCATTGAATCCATGCATGTGGCACAGTAATTTTACTTCCTGGGCTCCAGCTGGCAAGCACCTCCAGAGGTTCTGAGGGATCACAGGTACAGCATAGAACCTGAACCGCATCAGACTCCAGACACTTATGAACAGCAGGGTGCTGGTGCAACAGTGGGATGTCATGGCTCGTGTTTGGGACCTGTGAGGGGGCACAGAAGAGAGAATAAACTCCCACACTCCCCCCATATACACTGGGAGAATCTGGGGCCAATATTACAGGGTGAACATGAAGCCGTGACCTAGGTGGGGGTGGCCATAATAAGTTGAGGACATCTCTGGCCTTTTCCTGCCTCAACATCGTGGTAGGCACTGACAAGCCCACCCAATGCATATTTTCCAACGGCCCCAAGCCGTTCCTCCTTGCTAGCCAAGGAGGATGGCTGGCAGGATGGAGAAGACAGTTATACTATTCCTTGTCGGTCAGGTGGTTTACCCTTCCACTCTTTGAGCTGTGAGAAATGAAACCATTTCTGCCAGGGTTTCCCATTTTTTCCATTCAGGACTTCTACCTGCTAAACTCCGTGGGCTCTGGGCTCTACTACTCTGTGGGCTCCAGGATCATCTACTCCGTGGTGTTGGTGATTTTATATAAATGATTTAAAATGTTTAGGATAAGGTTTTTATATTGTTTCCCCTCATCCATATGGGCTTCAATATGGAATCGAATTTCCATTTTGTCCCCAAAGGCGGAAAAATTAAGGCACCAAAGCTGTGGCATGAAGGTTGGTTCAAAGCAGTTGGAACTGATGTGTAACTGCCGTCGCCTCAGCACTTTCCCGCCACTCACTCCTTCTAAGGAACTGTGCCACATCATCACGGCGCTGTCCGTCCAGGAGGCAGCCGTGGGGGATTGGGCTTTTGCGCGGCTCTCCGGATCAAGAGCTGTAAAGGATTCTGTGACACTATCGACTTACCTGCCATCCAGGGTCCTTTGGTCCACCAGTCAGCAACTTCAGTTCCAGCAGCCGAGACCCAGTGTTCCTCCCCAAAGGCCAGCGTTTGGCCGAGGGTAGAGGGTCCTGGACCCACTTCTCACTACCATCTGACCTGCCCATACATGACATCTGACTAGCAATAGGCTATACTGGGGATTTGTTATATTCTTGTTGCCAAGGGAGGGGTATATTAGGTCTGAGCTTCAAGCTCCTTTGTTGCAGTCCAATGTTTGCTGAGTTTTGTGTGTTCACTTGTGGCTTTCACCTTACCCCTTTCCTGTAACCAACCCTTAATACACTACTTACCTGTTTCAACATAATTTTTGTCTCTCCTCCTCTTTCCTACACCACACTTGTGAGGGAGGGTGGGATACAGGAGCTGCTTCCTCAGGTGATAGACCCTGATAACAAGACCAAGAACCTGTACCTGTAAAAGGCAAACAGAGAGGTATACTGGGGTTCATTTAGTTTTGATTTTCCCTGGTTACAGTGAGCTCCGAGCAAACACCCTTTCCCTGTGGACTCAGAGCTTAATCTTTTTGCGGGTTTATGGGATCTCCCACCAGCGAAAGAGCCCCACACAGCAATACCCCACTCAATCTCCACCTATTAACAATTATCAAAACAGAATGTACACGCCATACACACAATGCTCACCACTCCCAACAAGACAGATGAACCCTTCCTGATGGCTAGCCAGGATCAGGTTCATCTGGGGGACTCCAGCCCCTGCATGGTGCCACCAGCAGAGTGCCAAGGTCCCAGGGCTGTTTCCTGGAGTTGGTTCCCTAAGAGCACCCCCTTTCCCAAGGGCATTTCCTCTTCTTCATTACCCATCTCTAACCTGTTGGTTTTCTCCTGTCTGAAGTGAGCAGCCAAGGGGTTTTTATTCCAGCCATCTCTGCTTCCCTTATCTCACTAACGATCCCCACCAAAAGTCCTTTCACGCAGTCACAGTATTGCTCTAAAATCTTTACTTTTAAGGCACAACTCTTTAACTCCTTATTGCACGGTCCTACAGTTATTCTAAGCACGATTCTTAACTTAAAAGTTACAGGACGTTACCAAATATTCTATGAGAGAGAGACCTCGCTAAAGGAGCTTAATCTGAAAAAGGAAGAGACAGTTTGCGCAGGTCTGTGCCTCAGTTTCCCCACTCCACAGCAACTACTCAGCAAGTACCACATGATTAGGGTCATGTGCTGCCCCCATTATCCACTAATTTTTTACCAGCTTTGCCCATTATTTTGGGATATGCTCATTTATTAGGGTTACTCTTCTGGGGGCAGGGGGGTGTTCTGTACTTTTATCAATGTACTGCTTGTGTCACTTGTCTTTTCATACGGAACTCTCATTTTCCCTGCTGCAAGTTCCCTCCCAGTGGAGCTATCCTGCAGGACCTAGGTTCCCTAGGGCTGGGCTCCTCCAGACAGACACACACACACTCTCTCTCTCTCTCTCTCCCCCCCCCCCCCTCAGAGGACCGGGTTAATCAGCACTCTCAAGCCGACCCCTTCTATGTGCCTGGACTCCGTAGACTGGGTTGAACAGCACCTTCAAGCTGTCACCTCCATATGTCCCAGGTTCAGCATGTCTCTATCCCCACTTTCACGTTACAATTGTCTCTGACTCCAGCCTGATTTTGACCATGATTCCTACCCCTCGATTCTAGCCCGGTACTGCCTTTGATCTCTGATCTCTGACCCCGGCCTGACTCTGACTCTTGTTTATGGGGCCTGGCCTTGTGATTCCTCCAACCCTGCCCGGCAATTCCCATTCCTGGTGGGCTGACCTCAGCCTAGCTGTGACTGCTAGGGTAGACTGCCTATGCCTTGGTCCCTTACAGGTATTCACTCACTGCACAATAGAGGATTCAGTTAGTGTTCTGCTTCTTGGGGTTTGCTTTATTAAGCCAAAACACACTGAAACATTTCACTTGGCCCACCTACAGCAAGGTCCTTCTCTGGCCAGCAAGGTTTCACAAATCAGTCCATCTGCCCTTCCCAGGGCTTACACAGTCCTTCTAGCCCTCCGAAAATCTCCCAGCATTTCCTTTTCTCTCAAGGGACTTGTTGCAGGCTTTCCACTTAGGTGTTAGGGAGAACTTACCTCCAGATCATATCCTGACCTTGGGTCTCACATAAACTAAGACGAAGCCCCCCCCCTTTTTTAAAAAGGTACTCAGCTGATCCTAGTCCAGTGACTTCAGCCTGTTCACTTGCTCCCTTGGGTCCACGTTTCATGTAGGGTTTCTGTCACATGCATTAGGGGAAAACTAGGCACAGGTGGAACTGTGCCAAAACCCTGGGCGGGTGGCAGGTCTGGCTCTGTGGGAGCTGCACCGACACAGGCCCGGGAGGGGCACGGGACGGACATGCCCTGGGGGGGGGCAGGTCTGGCTCTGTGGGAGCCGGAGCGGGCCCCGCCCGCGGGAACCCGGGCGCGCCCGTGACAAGTATTTGCAACGAAGCAGAATTCAAAGCAACCGGCAACGGTAACGCTCGTGACACCCGCCTCAGGCAGAGCCAGCCCCTCCCCCCAGCGCCCCGGCGCGGGTGTGGGACGCTACCGCCCGGCCCCGTAATGAACGAAGCCAGCGCGCACTGCGCGGCTCCGAGAGGCGGAAGGGCAGCGGGCGGGGCGGCACAGCAACGCTGACAACAATCAATACGGATTGACGCTCCTGAATTCTATTGGCCAGCCGCAGCCCCGCCCAGCCAACGGCCCTGCCCCCACCAGCGGGCCGCCCGTCCCGATGGCTCATCAGCAACCAATGGGCTCCCTTGCGTGTTAGGGCCTCCCCCTGATTGGCTGCTGGCGCTGCGCGAGCTGCCGCCGCGCCGGTCTGTCGGGCGCCCTGAGTCCGCGCGGCCCCAGCGGTGGGTGAGTCTCGTGAGCCCGGAGAGCGGGGTCCGATCCGGCTGCGGCTCTGTGCCCGGCCCCGTGCCTGGGGGCGGGTCTCTGCCCCCCTCTTCCCCCCCCGGGCGGTGCCGGCCCCGTGCCTGGGGGCGGGTCTCTGCCCCTCCTCCGCCCCCCCGGGGGTACCGGCCCCGTGCCTGGGGGGGGGGTCTCTGCCCCCCCCCTCCCCCCCAGGGGGTGCCGGCCCCGTGCCTGGGGGCGGGTCTCCCCAGCATGGATGTCGTGGGGGGATGGGTGTCTGCTCTCCTCCATGGAGGTCGTGGGGGGACGGGGATACGGGCTCTGTGGCCGAGGGAGAGTCTCTTCTCCACCCCAGGGAGGTTGCGGCAGGAGGGGGTGCCAGCCCTGTGACTGAGGGTAGAAGTTGCCTGTGGCTTGGCATGGCTATGAGGAAGCGTGGCCGAGAAGGTAGGTGTTGGCCTAGGGTTTAGGAGATCCGGGATTTGTTCTCTGCTCTCACACAGACTTCTGATGTGACCTTGGTTGAGGCGTTTAGGCTCAGAAATTTCATGGTGTTTAGGAGTTGGTGTGCTCAGCATTGCAATTCCTAGCTAGTTTAGGTACCTAATCTTATTGACTGTCAAAATGAGAGATGTAAGTTTCTAAATCGTCTAGGCATTGATGATAACATTAAAGACTATCCTAACGCCTGCATACGAAGGAACAGAATTTAGGTTCCATGCATAACTTCAGTTCTGGTACTTCCTGACTTTTTAGCGTATAACTTTGTGACCTTAAAGTTCAGCTTGCCTGAGGAAGAAGGAAACACAATGTGCGGTGACAGAGAAGGGAAAAGGACATGTCTGAGAATTCATTCTCTATAGGTTTACGTCAGATAGTGCTGACGTAAGCCTTAATCACAATAAAAATAAATACACCTAATATTGGTGGGTGTTTTTTAACCTAGATGATTCTAAAACATGTCTTATTTCTAGTTCCAGGTAGATGACTGAGCAGAGATGCCTCCTTGTGTAACTGTTCTGATTATTGGAGCTGGATGCCGGGGAAAACACTACTCTTATTTTGCTGTGCATTTTCCCAATCGAATGAAGGTAAAGATGTCGTATGCTGTTAACATTTTTCAAGGGGTCTCGTGTCTTATGGTTGCTGCAATTCAAGAACTCTGTTAAAATTAACAATCCCCATATAAAATGTGAGGCAAATTACTTTAAGTGTTTGAAAGTAGTTAATGAGAAAACAGATCTTTTCCCAATATTTTACTACTTTATTGGTTCATAACTCATAACAGCAGGAATTTTAAATTTCAAACATAGCATTCGCAATGCCTTGTGTTAGAAAAGGGATGGTTTTGAACTACTATATTTACCTTCTGAAAGTGCGGTATTGAGTGTGAGCACTTTGTTGTTTTTCCTTAAGTTTAAAGTTCAGAATTGCAGCTAGAGCCACTGGGCGTGCATGCGCTGCTGGGGAACTGCAGCATGTTTTTCGAGATCGTTAAGCTGGAGCATTTAGAAGCAATCTGACAAAACTGAAGTTGGACTCTCTTCCCTCCTCTTTCACTATCCTACATGAGTGGTGTTTTGGTTTACATCACACTTGCTAAAAAAACAAGTCCACTTTGAGCATTGGTAATTACCTGCAGCAGTTATAGATCCGACTGCAAGTGAGCAATTGGTGAAAGAGGAAGAGAACAGGGGACACAGAGCTGGTGTTCAGTTGCCCTACTAGAAAAATGCTTGACGTCATATTCTCCAACTATTAAATTACATTGAGCACAGTCTAAAGAATCTCTTGACTAAGTCAACAGTAAACTTAAGACTTAAAGGCCAAAGTCTGGGCCGTGCCCACAGCATCTTCTTAGTCCGTGGTATAGTACATGTGGGTTTTGGCCGGTGGATCTGAGAGCACCCTTTCCAACAGCTAGCAGTGCTGTAATTGTCCCCATATCCCTTTCAAGTAGCAATAGAGGTGGTGATAATCAAGGACATTGAGGAGCAGAGTCTAATCCCAACTCCTTATTAGACACATCAGGAGCCTACTCTGCCATCATGCCCTCTTCGGTTTAACTGTGTCAGTAAACCAAACTTTGTTATACAAATGCCAAACTGTCCGTGTCTCCCCCCCCCCCCCCCCCCCCCCCATCATGGTACTATGAGAATGAGATTTCCTGCACTTAGTTTTTGCTCCGCTGTCCACTTCTGATTAGTGCGGACAGCAGTGGGTGGTTGTGGAGTGACCATGGCACAGGATCCTTCTGTGCAGCAAAGTGCCTGCAGTTGTTAGCCACAGTCCTGGCAGGAGAAGCTATCTTCAAGGTGTGGCGCTTGCTAACCTCACTTGTGGAATGTCCCACTGATCTTGCTAATGACTTCATTTTGGGAGTTAATCTTCAACACATGCTGTTTAACATACAGTCAATTGCTAATAAGACAATTGCCACCTGTATTCTGGTAATGGATAAGATGCTTGGCCTTTTGTGTATTACTAAAACAAACTGGAGGATTCTGTTAGTCCTGTGATGACTTGGTTTGCTCCAGTAGACAGAGCCTGAACTCCAGTCTGAGATCAAACATCTACACCACAGTTAAAAAGCCCCACAGCCTGAGCCCGAGTCAGCTGACATGGGCCAGCTGTAGGTGTTTAGTTGCAATGTAGACATACACTCAGACAGCAACGACAACTATTTGCGTACTAGAAGAATGTCTTCCATGGGTGGTTAAAGTCAGTAACAAGACTTTAGACCCATTATTACAAGAAACTGTTAATGATTTTCTTGTTGAGGGCAATAGGCTGTCCAAAGTCTTACAAGTAGCAGTTTGACTTGCTCTGGAAATTCACCAACTATATCGCAGTCTTGAATATTTTTTTAAATGGAAGATTGAGAAGGTGGTGGTGGGTTTTGTTTTGTTTACAGCTGCACTAAGCTCAGTCAATTTCCAGGGTCCCTATCAATCTGGCTTCAGATTTGGGAATGGAAGAGAGACTTATTGTATTGACAGTTGATCTCAAGTAAGATGCCAAACTGATTCTACTAATTATTTCTGCCTTTTGATGCCATTCACTACTGAGGTTTTTACTCTCCTGTAGGTTCTTGTAAGGATAGACAAAATGACCCTTCAGTGGTTTGTTCCTCCCTCTGTACAAGATACAGAGGGTAGTGTTGGGCAACTGCTGCTCCTTCCGAAGGGCTCTTACACAGAGAGTTCTTGATGCCCCTCCTGGTCAATGTGTATTTGAAAAGCCACCCGGGGAAATAGTGTAACATATTGGGCTGAAGTATCATCACTAAGATGTTGGTGATAGTAGCTAGAGGAGAGAGTCTGGTCAGTGTCCATGCTAATTGAATGGGTTTTGCCTACTTCTTACCAATATGCTTTGCAGGTCTCTGGCAGGCCTATTTGGCCCATTGCTGTCCTGAATTCTTAGTGCTTTGAGGCGACAAGAGTCCCGAAGTCCCTTCGGATCCGTGGGAGGGCTCTACTGCTTCCGGTCCGGTTCCGAGTTTAGCGTGCTCTTACATTTCCTTGTTGGTACTCCTGACCTGGCCGCCAGTCTCAAGATTTATACCTTCACCAAGATAATACCATGGTTCCATAAAAGATATTTGCCTCTTTGTTTTGCCATTGGCTGTTACTCACTCACACTATCTCACTCATTCCTTACATTAATCGATTACATATTCATAAGCATGAATACAATTGATTATATAGAGTTATGCAGCTTTAAGCAAGCATCTAACATCATTGGGGACTTTCCTCTGCTTGTAGCTTTGTAATGGCATAACAGGATACTCTTCAGACTGCACCTGAAAGAGCAAATGGGGGTGGGGGGCACTTCTGGTTACCAGAAGCACAGTTTGTGACTGGTTGGGGAGTTTAACTTCAGTGTTACCCACCAGTCTGCTGCTCTTCTTTTGCAGCTTTCCCTGACCTTGGCATTTCCAGTGAGGGCTGCCCCAGGCACCTCTGTGCCACAATGTCTTTGACATGCTTCCAGGTCCAGATCAAGTTGGTCAGGTTTTTTAAACCTTGAATGATCTGGGATCAAGTTGTCTGAGACACCTCTTGTCCTATACTCCATCACAGCAATGGAAATCATTTGGGATACTGTAAAAAGCAACAGAGTCCTGTGGCACCTTTAAGACTAACAGATGTGTTGGAGCATAAGCTTTTGTGGGTGAATGCCCACTTCATCAGACGCATGGGAGGGTGTCCTTGGTAGAGGGTCTCCATCTTTTGAATTTGCTCCACTTTATGGTTCAACAGAGCTTGGGTTTGTTGAGCTACATGTTCAATGTCAGACTTAATTATCTGATCTGATGTTTGGTTAGTTTTGTTTGCTAGCTTGGTTTTTATTTTCATTATTTTTGTTGCAATTTAAAGGTAGTTTCCTTCAGTAAGTGGTGTGGTATTTTATTCGGTCAAGTTTTAAATACCCTAAATGATGTGGCTTTAATGAAGAGATATTTCCACAACCTATTAAATAATTGTCAGGATTTTTTTCCTGAAATTCAGCCTAAAATTTTCTTTGCTAAGTTTTCTTTCCTGACTCCTCGGTTAAAGTGTTTGCAGTGTTTTGAATATGTAAAATGCTGTGTTGTTTTTATTTTATTGTTGCTAATAGTGACCCCTTGATTTAGGCTTCCTAAAGTTACCCATTATGAAAGATTTTTGTGGTCTCTTTGAGGAAACACTAAGCCCTCCATTGTGAGCAGCAGGTCTTTGGAATTTGGCATGGCAAAACCCTGGGCTAGAGATGTGCCTTTCACTTGTCCAGGGTGGATAAAAATTGCTGATTTTTTTTTTTTAAAGGGGGGGGGGGTATTTAAATCAGATTTTTTAATTTGAATATTTAAAATTAAATTTGAAATTATGATGAACTAGGGTAAACCCTTAACTTACTATAATAATTTATTGTAAACTTAAAAAAATTAAGCAATATGTGTTTTTGTTAAATTTTAAAGAAAGTCAAATCGCTGAACTGGTGCAAGGCACTAGCTAAACACTTGAACTAGAATTAGCTGAAGTGCTAAACCAGCTTTTTACAGCAGTAGTCTTTTCTGCAAGTGTGGAGAGAATATTTTCAGTTGAGGACTATAATTCATTCAAAGAGGCCAGTGGGAGTTGAAAAAGCAGAAAAGCTTGTTTCCTCTTCCAATCTATGAATAAAAACTAGCTTTGAGAGGAGATCGAATAGTTCTAAAATCTTGAAGGATGTTTCTGGTCATCACGATCAGTTCAATTCATTAACTACAGATGATACCTTGTTTACTCATGTAGTCTTAAATGCAAAACGTGTTTTGATAAACATTCTTCTTAAATGTGCCAGATACATAAGAGACTTGCTCATTAGTTAAATAAAACTAAATTGCTGTTTTTTTGTGCATTTTAATTGAATTTGAATTTCAGCTTGACAAAAATCACAAGTAAAAAATGAGGGCATGTCTACACTACAAAGTTAAGTTGACGTAAGGCAGCTTATGGCGACCTAACTATGGAGGTGTACGCACCGCAGTGCTCTTCCTGCCGCTTTAACTCGCCTGCTACACTGACCTGGATGAGAGGCAGTGCTTTTTGCAACCTAGTTAGACTGAGGCAGTGTCCGTTAGACGTTGCCTTAAGTGGTCTCCAGGAGCTGTCCTGCAATGCTCACTGTGACCGCTCTGGCCACCATTTTCAACTCCTCTGCCCTGTAGCCAGGTAGAACGTCCCATCCCCTTTAAAGCCCCAGGAAATTTTGAAATTGCTCTTCCTGTTTGCTGGGCATGGAGAGCTCACCTAGCAGCTGCCCAATTGACTGCTGGCTCCATGCAGCAAATGTGCTCCTGCCTGGAGTACACGGGAGATGGTGGATCTCCTGGGCCTGTGAGGAGAGCAGGCTGTGCAATCACAGCTCTGCTCCAGCCGCAGAACTTTGATATCTACAGCAAGATCGCTTGGGGCAGGGGTCTCAAACACGCAGCCCCCGGGGCTGTTTCCTGTGGCATGCTGAGCGGCTGGCGCCAGCCCCCCCAGCCTACCTCCAGGCCAGGGGTGGGCAAACTACACCCGCGGGATTGCCCCCCTCGAGCCCCACGCCGGCTGGCATCACG